TTTTTTCTAATAAAAAAATGGGCGGCTTCTTCAAAAAAAAAAAAAAAAATAAAAAAAAAAAAAAAAAAAAAAAAATATATATATATATATATATATATATATATATATATATATATATATATATATATATATATTTATTTATTTTTTTATTTTTTTTACACATCTTTACCAAAGGTGAGATTGCTACGGTACACATTTTGAAAAGCTGAGAAAGATGAAACCCTGAAATGTTTTCTGAAAATTATTATCTGGAGTTTAGGCACACACATCTCATCCACGCCTTTTTTTTATATATATATCTAATGGATTCTGAATAAAACATGAAGCCGGTTATATCAGACATTAGGTGGCATGTGCTTTCTATCATAACTTTGTCCCCAAGCTGCTGAACATTAATCACACATGAACAGATATTGGGCTCATGTCACATTAACTAGCATCCACAAAAATTAAAGAAAGCCCTTAAGAGAACCCACGACTCTGATGAGATTGTTGATGAAAAGGGAAACAGAAATGGAGTTTGCAGCAAACGAGGGACACGGAAGCCACAAAAAACCAAAACAAAACTAATGAAACAACGAGCTGCAAACGTGACAAACACGCACACTCGAAAAGTAGAAATGAAATTGCCTTGACCTCTACCTGCCAGGCTCCCAGGCCTTTGCAGGGTTGCGTTGGCGTAGAGCTCGTGGGAGATCTTGTAGCTGTCGGCTCCGATGTGATGCAGCATGCGCTTGGTGGGCGACAGGGTGGCGTAGCTTCCCACGGCCGAGCTGAGCTGGTGGATGGGCGATGAGATGTGGTTCCCACCGGGGGAGGTGGCCATGGGGAGCGGGGAGGAGGAACCGGCCGCCATGTTGATGGGCGATGAAGTGCTGCAGGGCAGGGAGGAGCAGGTGTTTTATTGTTAGGTAGGGTACCTATCTTAGCTATTTTCAGTTTCTTAGAGATGTTTTATGTGTAGAGGAAGCACAAAGATGTAATTCTATGGAAACGTCTGAAACAGGAGTGTCCAAAGTGCGGTCCAGGGGCCATTTGGGCCCCTACACTGATTTTGTGCGTCTCCCAACTGCAGTTCAAAAGTGATACATATTTGGCTCGTCGATGCAGATGGAAACTTTTAATTTGTAATCAGGGTAAAAATTGTCACAAACAATTTTCTTACAGAGGAAAATGTAAAGTGCAACACAAAGTATTAGTCTCTTAACCAAGTTTTAACAAAAGGTAAAAGCAAGTTTATCCACTGAGACGCCAACTCTGCTGCTCCCACATCAGCTTTTGTTCATTAAATGTCACTAATCATAGTAGAGGTTTTTGAAAAAAGTGACCCAGATCTTGTTCCTATTGCTGAAAACAAATGTATTCAATTGAGCCCAAAAGAAACTCAAAACCAGATGCTTTCATTTAAATACAGTAAAAATGCTCAATCTGCAGCATCACTATAGGGCCACTGCAGAAAAAACTGTTGTAAATTTCTGCCAAAAAAAAAACCTCTCAATCTTTTTATGTAATCTCAGAAATGTTCTAGAAATAAAAAACATTTGCTAGAAGAAAAATCTCATTTTTAGATTAACATCAGAAATTTTCTACAAAACACTTGGATATTTCTAAATTTCAAATGTCGAAAATTTTCTTGAAAAATTCTACGTTTTCTAAAAAATGCATGATATTAATCACAACATTTCTGAGTTTTTAGCAAATATTTAATCCTTTTTTTCTATCTACAAACACTCGAATGCACCGTCATAAAAATCCCAGTCAAGTTTTGGATGTACAGTAAATATATTCCTACAGGCTGGTGATGTTGACTGAAAGAGACAGGATGCACCTTTAACAGTTCTGTCTGTCATCTGGTTTTTTACATAAAAAGTAACAACGCCGTGGTTTTAGAAGAGCCAATAACCTGGAAATTAAAATTTTAATCCGCCACACTGTTATATTACAGTTTTGAAGCGTGTTTTAAACTCCTTCACATTGTTCCGGCTGACGGCTCTCTTGTTTGGGCCACGTTTCCACACAATTAGCTTTGCACAACAGCTTGTTAGGATGTGGAAACATGTTATTTAACTCAAACTCATTTGCATGGCCAGGTCGTGGTAGATTTTAGTGTTGGAAAAGCAAATCACAAGACATAATCAAAGCGGCATCCTGACAAAGCTGCCTGTGTGTCATTTTTATTTCCTCAACAAAATTAAATTACAGAACAAGACATGGGCTGCTTGCTGCTGTCAAGGTACGCTGTAAAAAAAAAAAAAAAACCGCTGTAAAAAAAATCAAAACAAATATGTATTTATGGCTGCTGGTACTTTACTGTAAAATAGAATTTTTTTTTTTTTTTACAGTGTATACCAAATTTATAAGAAGTTATCGTTCTAAAACTACTGGAAAAGTTTGGTAGCTAAAGAAAAATCCCTGGACAACAACAGGGAAAGCCGTGTTGTAAACGAAGCAGCTCTAATGAACTTCAACCGACCTGTAGGACTTTGCAAGTCGGCTCGGTGACTGTTTGGGTGAAGACACTCTCTGCAGCGTGGCGTAGCTAGGCATGTCTGCTGAGCCCAGGCGCTGCAGCTTGGTGGGGGATCCCACCGCCTGCAGAGGGGAGCTGACGCGCTGCAGTCCAGGAAAAAAAAACATAAAATAAAATCATTTGGACATCATTAAGACGGAATGCTAGTCAACTTCAAAAGGTTTCCATTTTCTAATGATTTTTTTTCTCGATACGTGAATGTAAATAAACAAAAATCTCGAGACAAAATCTCTGATGAGGAGCAGAGAGTAAACATGAAGAGCTGAACTGATGGAAGGATTTGACTTTTACAAAAGCAGCCGTGAGCAAAACGTCTCCAAACCAGGTTCACTCATCATTTTATTTAGCAAAGATGTTTGCTAAAAAAAAAGAAGAAAAACACATAGCACCAGACCGAGCACTGATCGATCATTATCTACACAGGATTAGTTCTTTAGACACAATTAAAATAACAATATGTGCACATACAACAGTGGGCGCAAACCTATCTATTTCAGTTCAAACGCAAAGAAAACTTGACTATTTTCATGCAAAAACAGTAAACGGTAAACTCGTTTTTTTCTGCAAATCTTCAGCCAAGAAGTTTCTGTACTATGTGTGATCTGGGAGACTTGACTACACTACAGCGAATCAAAATACTTCCATTTTACGCAATCATAACAACAAAGTGACGTTTTATTGAAGCATCCGACCAAACACTTAATTACTGTTTCTTTTTCTTTGTCTGAACTTTCAAAATGAGATCAGATAATGTTGGTAAATAATGACACTAATATGTATTCTGTTGCTTTTGTTACATTACAGCCTAAAAGGCCTAAACACTACATAATGCTAAAAAAAAAATAAAACATTGCTTATGAGGCTTAGTAATTACACCATAAAATTGTCTATTGTTCCGTCTATTGTCACTCTGAACAACTAATTATCAAAAGTTTAATTTTACATATCAGGATTTGGTGAGGAAAGACATTTGGGCTCAATCTCTGTGTTTAACATTTATACATTTTCCATAAAGCAAAGTTATGTTGTGAATAATAGCACGAGCCTGGACCGTCTAACAGAATCCGGTCCAATCCATCCGCAAAAACAGAACTGAAACTGAAAACCGCTCCAAGAACCAGAAAATCACAAATACAATTAGGCTTCTGGTTGTAATGGGGGAAAAAACAAACAAAAAAAAACATGCTATATGAATTCATTTTGCAGTTCTCTGTAATTAAAAACTGTTTCCTAAAAATGAGCAATGCCAAAAAAATAAAAAAAATAAAATATAAAAGTCAGCTTTGACTTGATAGTTTTACAACATTTATCCCCATGTTGGATTTGTTCTCTCAGTTATAAACATATAGGTGTTTATTGACCTGCAACCTCTGCAAAAAAACAAACAAACAAAAAAACAAACAAACAGGCAGCTGCAGAGTTTCCAGAACCTCGTTTTTCAACCGTAAGGGACGATTATTCGATGGTCCTTCAATACACAACTTCAACGTAACCATCACTGAGTACCTGAGCAGGCAAAGTGGCACAGGAGTAATACATGGACGGTCCGGCAGGTGCGGCTCCGCCATCGGTGGACATGTGTAAGGCGCTGCCGAGGACCTGCTGGGCAAACGAGTCTCTCTGGGACTGAGAGGGCGAGTCGGTGGCCACCAACTGGGCGGCTGCACGGCTGGACGTCACCTGGACAGGTGGGGGGTGAGGGGAGAGGAAAGGAAAACCCGGGTTGAGCGAGAGCGTCAGCGGTGGGTCGGGAGGAGAGAGTAAGAAACATTCACCTGGTTGTAGCTGTGAACGGCGCCTCCGACCTGCCCGCCGCGCGCCGCCACCGTTTCCCCGAGCGTCAGCCCTTGGTTGCTATGGTAACCAGCAGCTGCATAGGCATCCTGGCTGTTGAGCTGCAAAGCGCTTTGAGAGAGCAGTCCTTGTCCTGTTAGGAAATTGAAAGGGAGGACTTAAAACGGCCAAAAGCGAAAGCATGGCGTCACGTAGAGAGTGGGGGGAAAAAAGGAGAACTTTATCATTATTTCTTTAATAATCAATCCACCGTATTGTTTTGCTTCTTTGAGTGTGTGGTGGCTAGTAGAAACCTGATGCAAACATGTTAAATCTTAAGATATTCTGCAAAAAAAATAAAATAAAAAAGTACGTCAAGTGCTCGTTCTGTCAGGAAAGACAGAGAAACCCTCCTGCACCTTTCGTCAGAGGGAGAGGTCAGGATCGGACGACAACGAAACGACGACCGACAACGGAGCCGCCGAGGAAAGGAGAGTGAGAAGCACGTTAGCGAGGAGTGACACCAGGTTACGTCACCGACTGGAACAAACGTCTGTCGAAAAGCCACCTCAAACCTCCGTCTCACTTCTGCCAAATCGTTTTTATGTAACTATTTTCAGATTCTGCTCTCTCTCTCTGGCAGCAGTCGGTCTTTGTGGAAAGACTTATTCTCTCTGCGGCCTTGAAGGCATTTTGCAACCTAGTTTACATCCCACGTGTTACACAACATACTGCTTTATTTATTTATTTATTTATTTTTGCAAATGTTTGAAAAAGCGGCAGGTTTGTAACTTGCCTTGAAGTTAAACGATGAGAGAAGGACAGAGAGTGCAGGCTGACAGCTGAGGTACGAATCGCTAAAGTTCCACATTTTCTAGTTTTAAGAGACAAATTTGCTTTTTCTCTACTTCTCTGGCTTCTTCTTAGCGTTTTCCTCTCATGCTCTGTGACCCTTGAACCTCTCTCCCTTCCTGCTCGCTCTCCTACCTGGCTTTTGTTTTGCACACTGCAATGCAAAAGGAGAATTTCACAATGTAGGAATTGATTATATTCCCCCAAAATCTTCAGATTTTTTTTTTGTTTGTTTTTGGTAGAGTTCTGTTTCCTTGCACTACTGTAGCATTTTTAAATGGTGAAATTGTGCTGACCAAGATTAATTGCCTTGAACTGAAGGAGTCTGATGAGCGACTTTTTGGGGAAGGTAAAGCAATTAACCTAAAGCTTTCGGAGACAAACGCAAGCGCCCCATCACGGCTACAGCGACATGCAAATTTAAATCATCTGCAAACCATGCCGACCTTTACGGGAGCTCAAAACTAGACATTTATAAGTCTGAGGCAGGCGTGTTCAAACGTCCGGAAAGGAAGACAACGATTTAAAAAAAAAAAAAAAAAAAAAGGCTTGTAGGCAGGAAGGCAAAGACAAACTATTCTTGTAGAAAAATGTTCCATCTTAACCCCTTTTGATTCTTTTCCTTACATTTTGTACTAGAATTACAAGACAAAACAAATCAATCATGCAAAAAATGTTCATAATGCCGAGGTAAAATTAGACAAACTGGTCCACGATTCAGAAGAACGTTCAAAAAATGCATATCAAACGTTCTGACGACGGCATTTAGATAGAATGTTTACCATCTTAAAATTCGCCGATGATTTTATCCTAAGAGTGTCGGTCATTTTCAAATGTTCTCAACCGAGACAAAAACCTGTTGAATTACAACAGGAGGCCCAAAGTCGGTCCTGGAGGGCCGGCATCCTGCATGTTTTAGTTCTCTCCCTGGTTTAACACACCTGGATCAAATGATGGCTCATTAGAAGGCCTACGAGGAACATTGACCTGCTGAAAAGGTTGTTACTAGCACCAGGGAGAGAACTAAAATGTGCAGGACGCCGGCCCTCGAGGACCGATCAGGCATTACTGTAAGTGATGCAGCTGCAACATATTAGCATTCAATGGACAAAATCACTATTCCACTAATCCAGTTCTCGAGTCAGTGTGGACATTTAAAGTTTTGTCCCTCACCTTTCTGTTCGTCTTTGACGTAATGTAACATGACTAGTTTCTACCTTTAAAAATTCTGAACTATTCCTTTAACACCTAAAGCTAAAATTTCTAACCCCACTGTTGTAAAAATGCAGTCGAGGGAATCAGTCTACATCAATAATATTTATTGATGATATTGATGATTGATTTTTTTGTTTGTATTTTTAAATTTTTTTTTTAAATCATAACCGTCAGCACCGGCAGGTAAGTCGTCAGATGAGCGTTTTGTAAGAAAACATGCAGAAGAAACACAGCAGCCTGAGCATAACAGCACCAAAACGACGCTTGGCTGCTAATTTTAGACACCGCTTCGTTTGAATTTCAGAAGCTCTTGAAGTGTCATGAGTTGAATCGTTTCGTTTTTTTTTGGGTTTTTTTGCTTTTTTTTGGTGGGGGAGAGAGTTGTGAATGCGCCAACAAAGTACATGCAAATGTGAGCGCACACACTGAGAAAACCACATCAACAAAGCGCACTCTCAAGCTGTGCCAGAGCTGCAAAGTTGGAATGTGCACTGATGGTTCCATTCAGTGTAAAGTTGGAAGTTAAATGAATAATTTTGAGGTGAACCAGAGACTGGGAGCCTTATGAGTACATGCCAAAAAAAAAAAATGCTCAGACGTTAAAATACTCACTAATTTTTTTTTAGAAATTCCAACATTAATCCACTTTTGCTGATAAAAGCACTAATCTGCCCTATAAACAGGCCTAATCACAGATGTAAAACTCATTTCTTTTTCTTTTTTTTGATGCATCGTAGCAAAAATGTTGGCTAAGCACCGGTGTCCCCAGTGGCTGCATTAATGCATGCAGTGAGCAGCAGTGCAGATGCAGTATGGTTCGGTCCTGGTGCTGCTTGTTGGGAAACGGCCCACGTCACTGCAACACCGACTTTCTGCGTCCATCGTGAAATCCTGAGCATTTTTCACTTGGAGAACTTTTTGAGCTGTCCTCTTTGACAGAAGTCCAAAGAAAATGGAAAATAAATAATTAGGTATGCAGGATATTATGGGCATGGTATCGGCCGATATTAGCTGTAAAATTTAATACATCGACCATTCTGTCAAAAATAACTCACCGAAATAAAAACCTTTGTTTTTATATGACAAACCGTTGACATTGATGCCTGCAGCACAACATCATAAGAGACTGTTAAGTATTAAAGCACGAATGATGAGCTTTTCACTTGTTGCTCGTGAACAGGTTGAGTTTAGTTTTGTAACGATTTACACATTTTTAAGTTTCAGTGTTGTCATCGTCTTAGAGAGCAAATGTCTAATAAATTTGGCATTAAACCTAATGAAAGTTGGAAGTGTTGCATCATCTTCAGCCTCCTTTTCAGGCTAAATTGGTAACAGGCTAAATTGGTAACAGGCTAAATTGACAACAAGAATGTGATTTATTTCCACAGTAGAGAAAACCATATAGGTTGAGTAAGTAGGTATAGGAAAAAATATCAGTATTGGTATCGGCAATCGGTCAAATGAGTTTAGCGTATCGGCCTATTGGATATTGAACAAAAATCCAATATTGTGTGTAAAAAGAAAACGATACATCAAACCCTGAAAAAGCACATGAAGACACAAAGAGTCTTTGCATGTTTGCAATGATTAAAGAACAGGATCGGAGCGCGGCGGTTAGCATCCGCTGACAGATTAAATCAGCTGCCTAGGGCAAAAAGGAGTCTCTCTAGATAAAGAAGGCTGGAAAATAAAGCTTGACCGCAGTGAAGAAACAAAAAAAAAAGAAAAAATTGCTTTAGAAGGAAGAGAGTGACTGAGCAGACGGTGATGGCGCACTCTTCAAAACGTGATCTTAACCTCCGGGGTCCAGGTAGCTCGAGTTGACTCGGTCAAGAGCGACGCGTCTCATCAAAGCCGCACGCACAAAAGAACGACAGAAAGTTGAGCGTGCAGAAATCGCAAAGCCAACGGAGAACTTTGCACTCCAGGCTTGTTTTTACATGGATTCACGTTCACGCGTATTTGCACACAAGCCCAAAGCCGGCGGTTATTTTCCCCGAGTTTTCTTTTCTTTTTTTCTTTTTTTTTCTGTTTATTTGTCACTTAAGGTGCGCTTTGTATGGCTCGGGGAGCCTTTTGGGAATCAAAAAAAAAAAAAGAAAGCTTCATAAATGCATTATCACTCAGATGGCAAACACAGAAGGCTTCACTGAATCCATTTGAGAAACTGGCATGCACCGCTGAAGCCAAATGCCCTCCATCTTCACGTCTTAGCAGTTTTATTTATTTTTTTATTTTTTTTGCCATTCATCCACAGGTTATATTAGAATTAAGTGAGTACACGCTCACAGATGGCTCATGCCTTGTGATCTCACGCATTAGCACACAGCACATCTGCGTGCACCTGAAGCATGTAATCGTGTAGATATTCTGACCCGGATAGACCTGCTCATTTTCTTCCATTCCTTTTTTCTCTCTCTCTCTCTCTCTCACACACAAAAAGGCAGAGTGGTTTTCTTCGTGACCGGAGTCGTCAATCAACGCATTTTAATATTTCATCCGTTTTCTATTTCAGACAGATATTCTAGATGGCCGTCTCAGGATGTGCTGAGTCGGGAACGCAAGCATTAAAAAAAAAAAGTGGATCCCAAATGGGTGAATGCAGAGGAGACGCGCAGATTAACATGCACACTGGCTAACAGCAGCGGCGTGAAGGCTGAAGACGCTCTCTGTAGTCGGCCCACTGATCCGCTCAGCAGCGTGAGACAGAAACTCTGCTGACGCCCCTCTCCTGTGTGCAGGGTTCAGTAGAAACCAGCTACATTTACTGAATTACATTTACTCGAGTAACGCTTTTGAAAAAATTTACTTTTTACTATGCTGTACTTTCTATTGTGAAGTGTCGCTACTCTTACTTGAGTAAAATTTCCCAGCTTCTATCTTTTGTCTTTAATGGACATTTGATTTGTTAAGGTAAGAAACTATGTTTTCTAGTCTAATATTGGCAGCTAGTAGAGCTGACTGCACATACAGTAAAAAAAAAACCTGAAATCACTTTGTATTTGTTTAAAAACGACAGTCACTTCCCGTTTGATGAATAATATTAACTCGTCATAGCGAAGCACCACCAGCTAAAACTGGTTTAAATAAAAAACAAAAAAAAAAACACAGCAACCAGAAATCGACCTCAGGATTCTGATCAGGCCTGAAGTGAGCAGATGTAAAATAAAACATTCCTGTTCAGAACCATGTAAACAAAACGTATAGATGAGCGTTTGATCATGAGCCTCGGTTGGTGCAGCTTGTTTGCTGTTGAAGGAAAATTAGCACTTTAAAAACCTGAAAACTTGCACCTCATTTCAGAGAAAACTTTGACAAACTGCTCAGGCACATTTGCATCGTTGGTGCAAATGAAGCAAATAACCAACATTTTAGCTCGACTTTGCTTTTTTTCCCTCCCCATCCATTCTCCATCTTTCTGTCCGGTCTGTACCTTCGCTCTCCCTCATCCGTCTTCTTCTGGGATAAATCAGGTGGTGAGTTACATAACTGTTATGTGAACATTATAAATATCAAGCAGATTTTCTGGTACCAGTATTTGGTTCATGATGATGTACGTATCTAATGGCAACCACTGCATGCAGGACTGTACACCTGTCTGTGGTGCCTTCAGTGCAATTCCCACTGTTAGTGTGCACACACACACGTCTTTTTTTCCCCAGAGCTTGTGCAGAGTACAGTAGCCACATATTTGTGTGTTTGCCTCTCCTCTCTGCAAACAGCAGGCCAGCTGACATCTCAGCGAGGATGGATTAGCATATCAAGCTACTGGCACAGCGCTGCGTGTCTTCTGACAGTTACCTCACCCCCACAGGGGTCGAGTGTAGCGAAGACACGGGTATCATCTCCAGGACCGAGCGCGGGGAGATCACAGCAGAGTGGGAAGGCGCAGGGAGCGGATCGGGATCTCTGTGAGCGCGTCTGTTTTCATGACACCGCTGCGTGGCGGATTTAAAAACGACCCGTGTTTTTAAGGCCCCCCTGAGCCTGCTGGCAATTTCTAACGCGGCTTTGCTCAGCTGCAGTGTATCAAGCCACCAGAGTACAGCGAAGTGTGTGAAAATTGCAAATAAAATGGATGATGAAAGTTTTTTTTTTTTTTTTTTATCTTTCTGGCTAAAAAAGACAGATGACCGTTTCCTGTTTTCAAGGTGTTAGGATTGCCAAAATTATTTCTATTAGCTCAATGTGAGAATTAGCGGTGCATCGATTGCAGTTTTCTGGCTGATCGTCGATTACTGAGATTTAAAAAGCCTGACCTGTCGATTCCGATTTTGGCTGATATAAATTTTTTTGTCCAAAATGTCGCTAAATGTAGGAAGAAAGTCAGTGAGTTGGTATGTGGAGACATGACCTGGTGCGCTGGCCTGTCAGTCAAAGCTTTCACACAGGAGAGCAGAAGAGGACGGTGGCTGATTTTCAGACCTTTGCTGAGGTAGACCAGATCGTAAGCATCGGCCGACCACAGATCTACCAACACTAAGGAAATCGGCTGGCAGATAAATCGATGCATATTAAGGAATTATTAGCTTAAAAAAACAAGCTCTTCTGTCTCACTTAACAGTTACCTAGGAGTTAGTTTTGTCTTATTTCAAGTGTATTAATATATTTGGACTATAAATTAGAGCAGAAGTACTTGGAAATATTTGGTTTTTGCAGTGCAAAACATTTATCTTACTGTCTCCTGTAGAAGCGTCCTGCGAGTCCAAGATGCCGGATTCTTGAAGCGACCTGATGCACGAGTCTACGAGCTCCAGGCCGGTCGTCAGCTCCTCCTCTATGTCCTTCTGTCCATCTACATGCGCACAAAACAGTGAATAGACAATGAGTGATCTGTCTTCATCTATGTTCTAAAGGTGCATGATTACAGCAGCCCTCCTGGATTTAACCTGAGTGTACTCGCATGTTTTTCATCTAGTGTGGGTTCAAAAGCCATGAAATCCCAGGTTATGTTCCCAAAAAAAAAATCTTAAGGTTTTAGTAACAACTAGACATTAATTTAATAACCGTGGGTATAACAATAAATAACCGACTGATAATTTGAGACAAAAAAAATAAAGAAAATCAGAAACATTTGGATGAAAACACAGAAAAGTCATATTAATGTTAAAAACTTGTCCAAAATAGTGTAATAATACAGCAGCTTCAATTAACTTTTCAAGTTTACAACTAGGCAACGTGTTGAAGACTTCATATTTCTTTCTTTCTTTTTTATTTTGGCTCTATTGCAAACAAGGTTTCTATAAAGTAAAAAAACAACATTTAAAAACAGATGTAGGGCGTATTTTTGAGAATGCATTCACACAAGTGTTAATTTTAAAGAGCTTTTCAAAAAATTTTCAATTCAAAATATCTTAGACCTTTCTCTCAAGCAGAGTTGAGGCGGTGAAATTGAATATTTTTGCTTCATTAAAAACACCTGACATGAATGTGGTTTGAAAAAAAAAAAAAAAAACTTAATAAAAAAAAATAGCAAAGTCAAAGTGATTGGTTGTCATGGCAAATTCTTGATGGTTATTCAAGGTTGACAAAACCAGCTATGAAGCTTAGTGGGTAATTACTTTTTCCCATAACCGTTACTGTTTTGGATAACTCTTTTTCCTTAGTAAATGTAATCACCATTTGACTAAGTTTGTATTTTCAAATGTTATCTTTGTCTGACGTTAAAATGTTGCTTGATCATCTGCCTTGAAGTTTGACAAAAAAGCAAAAACTGAAGAAATCTGTAAGAGGGGCGGGGCAGTAAAAACTTTCTCTTAACACTGCCATCATTAGCCCTATGGGTTAAGGGTAAAAATCTGATCATTTATCAGCAAATCTAATGGGGCTGAGGTCCGCGTTGTACCGAGATACAAGCCGTTTGTCTGTCAGACAGCGGCTGATGGCACGGCCAGTGTTTTCCAGTTAGAGACGGCTGCCAAGGAAGATAAAAGCTCACAAATGAGTCTTAGCGGCAGCATTAATCTCTTACGGAGATGGAAGGAGAACGTTAATAGTAGCGGCCTTAGTGGGAGGATTTAGGAGGCCTATTTTATTGACTTCAAGTGATGCCTTTGCAGACCGAAGCCTCTGCCGCTTTTGGAAAAAAAAAAAAAAAAAACACTTTCAAGACTGACTGCGATGTTTCATTGAATTGAGGCAACGCAGATTTATTTGTAAGCAAAGTACTTTAAAGGGAGAGAAACAAAATGGAGCACGGATAAAGAAAGTTACGTTAAAAACAAAGCAGTCATATATTACAGTAAAATTGAAGCCGTACAGAAAGAGGAATTAAAAATCTAATTGGAAACAAAAGAACCAAGATACGATACAGCGAGAGAAAAGATCTGATACGATACAATACGACAGTAAAATAATTTTTGACCTTTATGCTACAGTAAACAGTCATGGTTTTAGTTGTCATTTGAAATTTCTGCACATTTCAGTGTTTGGCTTCCAGAATGTATTTTCAACTACAAACTTTTAGTTCCTTATAGATAAAAATAAGATACAGATATTAAAATATAATTTTAAAAAATGAGACCTTGAGGAACTCCTCGGGATCTCTGCTAACGAAGTGGTGTGGTGTAAAACCTGACAGAGCATTCAAGATGATTTTTTATGATTTAAAAAACATTTGATTTGCACAACTAAAAGCATAAAAAGCAGCAGCAGGTCGTGGATTTTAGCTTTATTAAGCTTAATAAGTGTACAGATGATCAGAAATGTCATAATGACTTTATCCAAACAAATGGTATATATGTATTTTTTTCAACTTTTCAATGATTTGTGAGCGATGACATGATTACAGATGGGTTTATTGTGGAGCAAACTGAGCTGAGTGGTCAGGCCAGATCACAGCAGGCCGGACAGTGAAAGCCTTCACCACAAAATCTCTGGGATCGTTGTGTTAGCCACCTCTTTGTTGGCAGAGGTCACCCAGTGTGCACTCAGCCAATCAATCTGCTCTCCACATCCTATAGATCTGAGCAAGGCTAACAAAGAGGCAGGAGGACTGACCCAAGTGTCAAAGCATGTTTCTTTCTTCTTTTTTTTTTCCCCTTTTCCAACTAAAACACTGTCAGAAAAGTGGTCAAGCCCGGTGAGGTGTTTTCATTTGACTTTTAAATGATCTGGAGGCCCATTGATTCTGTCTGCCACTCGGGTGACGCACGCCCCATGCGAATAAGGGCTGGGGATTATATGCTGAGTTTTACAAGAGGTGAAATGCAGGACAAAAATGTAGGATTGAAAAACATAGATTGCAACATTTTAGATTACCTTGGTTGTTCCAGCGAAACTTCTCATCTGCTGAGCTGCAAGATACAAACAATAAAGACAAAACCGGGTTAGAAATGTGCTAAACTTTAATTGCTGTTGCACCGGATGTCAGTGTGATATCTGCACTGAGATTCTGCAGTATTTAGCTCAGGTATGCAGCCTTTTTAAATAGCCTGTTTTCATTCAAATCCAATAGAACTACACTGAAATTCACTAGGAATACAGGGTTTCCCCCAGTGTATTATAAGCCTGGCAGCCCGCCATGCTTTACTAGCCCCACCGCCAGGCTAAGCGTTGCTTGTTTACGAAAAATTGCTTCTTTTTTTTTAAAGCCAGGCTGCAAGCATCTCTTTTGCTCTGAGCACTTCACTAGCAGAGCAGATTTATTCCTAAATGATAGGTTTATGCATTTAAACCCGACAGCGCGCGAGCCAATCACACAGCTGGTGCCTCTGCGCTTTGCCTCACGCGCTGCCGCCTCCTTTCACTCAAACTGGACACAGGCTGACCTGTACGGATATTTACATAAACCTACTGTGAGGAATTATGATCCTTTGGAGAACTCTAGGTAAGAGTTTAAAACCCGCCGCGTTAGCTCTGGTGGCGCAGCTCAATGTGAACTGCAAGAATAACTTGTAGCGAATTCAGAGATGCGCGTTGTGGAGCGGTGAGAATTATTTATCTTTGTGAACGAACAATTATATGCGCCGTTTACATCTCAACATGCTGCCCAGCTGTGGCTCTGTGTCTGTCTTCCCTGTAAAGTTTATGTCTGTGGTCCCGATTGGCCGGAGTGTTTGTG